CTCACACACTCGAGGAAGGGACCATCTTGCCGACGGGAGGGACCATAAATCCTACCAAAGCCCCCACTGCCTTGTGGGTTGTCAGTGAATGACATGAAAGACTAGAAGAGAAAACTGTACACAAACCGGCAGTAGGCAACGGGAAACCACTGCTGTAACATCCCAAGAACAATCATGGAAAAGTACATTCATTTCTTCGATAACTGCGTTAAGCGGGTTCATGATCCAGCTCTGAACTCCCAGCTCGGTAGGGACCGCCACGGACAGCAGGTGGCGCCCGATCGTCATCCAGCTACCTTCTGCAAAAATAAACAACTTAACATAGTCACATAAAATGTGAGAACAAAGTATCAGAAAGGCAAATTAGATCGTGTAGAGTAGGAGATGGATAGGATGAGGCTAAATATATTAGGCCTTTCAGAACTTAGATTGGAGGGGGCAGGCTTGACTAAAAGAGGAAACAAAACAAGTGTATACTCTGGAGGAAAAACACATCAAAGAGGAGTAGGTATTTTATTTGACGAAGCAACAACAGAGAGAATCAAAGGTTTTTGGGGAGTCAGATAGAGTCATCGTAGCTAAATTAGAAGGAAAACATTTTGACTTAGGTGTCATCCAAATATATGTACCAGCATCAGAGCACGACAAGGAGGAAATTGAGCCTTTTTATGAAGTCCTTGATAAGGCAATGAAACATTTAAAATCACAAGATGTAAAGGTAGTATGGGCGACTTTGGTGCCAAAGTAGGAAGTACACATATAGAAGATATAGTTTGGCAATAGTGACTGGGTAAAGAGAATTAACGCGGGGAACGACTGACAGATTGGTGCAGAGAAAATGATTTTATTATATCAAACACCTGGGATGAAAATCAACCAAGAAGACGATACACTTGGAGGAGTTCTGGCGATAGAAGTAGAAATCAAAATATAGACTTTGTACTTATTCAGAAACATTTTAGAAATGCAATTAATCATCTAAATCACTGCCAGGACCAGACTGTGATAGTGACCATGTACCAGTCATTTGTAAAATGCAGATAAGACTGAAGAAACTTAAAAAGTCAAAGTACCAACCAAAATTTGACATAGGTCTTTTAAAGACAAATTGAGAACTGCAAAAACGTTTCTCCACAGATGTAAGCAATAAAATTCAAGCTTTGGAAAACATTACTAAATCGGAAGAACTATGGAGGAAAATGAAAGACTCAATAATGGAAGCTGTGGAAGAAAATATCCCCCCGAAAGCTAAAAGAGCAAAAACAAAATGGATGACCCAGGACATATAAAAACTAACGGAAGAGAGAAGAAAGGCAAAATCCAAAGTGGAAAAGTACAACATCTTACGAAAACAGTGGAATAAAGAAAAAATGCAATGAAGCAAAAGAAACATGGATAAATGATCAGTGTCAACAAATAGAGAAGAACCAAAACATAGATAGCAAATACATGCATTCCAAAACCAAAGAAGTAACTGGGATAAAAGGATGCTCAAATACAGGAAGCGTACGATCAAAATGAGGAGATAGTTTAATGGACAACGGGGATGACTTCAACAGATGGTCAGAATACATAGAAGAACTTTTCAAAGATAATAGAGGAGAAAAACCGGTAATAAAGAATGAAATAAATGGACCACCAATACTGAAAGCAGGAAAGTACAAACTGCCATTAGGAGGAAAATGAAACAATGAAAAGCCACAGGGCCAGATAATATTCCAGTGGAAGTGATTGTTTCATTTGAAAAACTAGGCACTGAAACAAACAACAACAAAGCTCCTAAATGCTATTTATGACAGCGGTGAGATCCCAGAAGATGTGATGAAGTCAGTTTTTATAGCTTTACGTAAAAAACGAGTTGCCCCTGAGTGTGATATGCATAGAACAATTAGCCTTATGAGCGATTTAACAAAAATATTGCAACGAATAATAATGGGAAGATTGAGAAAAAGTGGAAGTTTTCGTCTAACAACCCACTGGCTTGAGCTACTTTAAGATTACTAGTATTTCTGTTATCCATGTTGATTGTAAGATAAACCTCGCACGAAGAGCTGAGTAGATTTGCACAGAAAATGCAACAATTGTTTATGGATATCAATATATTTGTTCAGTATGAAACGCCTGCCGTAAAGAAAATTCAGCCGATGATGCAAACAGTTTATAGTGGCCACTCCAGGTGTATGTTATATTTCGTTTGATTTTTTTTCCTTGTTATTGTTGTTATTGTTTTAGGTTGTTGGGGTTTTTTTTTCGTTGCGAACAGACTTAAGTTTGTCATCGAACTGAGTTGTCGCTAACAGTAAGACAGAAATACAAAAAGAGCAAAGTAAATGTAACCTCTATTAGAACAACGTGATCTATGGTTACACAACTTAGACATAGACCCCAACAAATAATGTTGCCGAAAAAAGTGAAATAACGTATGTTTGTCAATGCGAGCGTTATCTAAATCAGGTCGACTGCTCTAGCTCCAGAGTGTCGGAGCCAGGTCCTCTCCTCCAGATGGAACAAACTCGTGTCTGTCCAGCTTTTTATTCTACTTCTAGTTCTCGTCTTTTTCTATAATAATTATGGGCATGTCAAGATATCACGTTTCGCGTCCCCCAACCCCTTCATGCCTGTGGCGGTTTTCTAAAGTTTACAACTTCTGTTTTTCCCCACTAATCATTTTATTATGTTGAAACTGGTGATTACAACTTGGCAATTTCACTCGTAGGATATATCATGATCTACCACCACGACACCGGTAGTGAATTTTTTTTCAACGTCAGAATAGAACATAACACTGTTAACCAAAGAGGTTATATAATTACATGTTCTTGTATACTTGGTCCGGAGGTGTCATCTGTCTCAAAGGTCGAAGTGCACTGATTAACTGTTCCTTTCGGTTGTTGGCATTTATAATATATAGGGCTATATAATAACATGTAATTATATAAACGTCATAGGTGACCCACGGGAAACGAGTTTGTAATCAAGATATTCGCAGAATTATATTTTGTATCTGAATATCGGAAGATATTTTCAAAATTACAAGATTCACGAAAAAGGAGATGTACAGTTTAATACCATATACCTGGTGAAACTTGCCCTCTACAATTATATATCTTTGAAGTATGATTTCATTTTGTGGGAGGTATGTCATTTCAAAATCACACGTCCAACCCCAAGCTGTACTCCTGTAGTGACGATGTTATTGACTGCCACTGAAAAGACTTGGATAAGATGTAATCCCTGAAATCCCTACACTCAACGGGAGCTTCTTGTTTCAGGTAACAATAATATATCAGTTATCAATGACTGGGAACTGGCTCACCGTCATCTATTGTGGACGCCAATCACATCGACAATATTGACCCTCTGTTTTATTTGAATGGCATTGAAAAGCTCTGGGTATTAGGTAACGGAGTATATGACCACAAACACATACCTTACGCACTTATACCCCACGAAAGGTCTTTGACAGATTTAGGTATCTACTTTAACCTCCTTACTCAAGTACTCAACTTTATATTCATTTATGTCTGAATTGCATCGTTTAGATCTTAGCTTCAACAATATTCCAACTCCATCATCGGGTTCGTTTCCTGTGTCACTGACAGGGCTTATTCTATCGGCAAACGTAATGACAACTTTTCCAGAATCGATATCAATTTTGTCCAATTTGGTCACTCTAATTGTACCCGGGAATAAGTCAAATCTATTGCACACTTTGAGCTCCCATCATTATTGACGTATCTAAATATAACGGACAATGACATAGAAGTAATTCCTACACTAACATTTTCAAACAACTCTTCAAAACGACAGACTATGGATCTTTTTTATAACGTCCTAGGTTCATAGCGGTAGGTTAGCCTAACAACACCACCACATACATGTGAATTGAGAACCATGATCGCTGATATCTGTTTCAGATCAGGTATTTTATTGTGAAGGTTTATATCACAATTTGTTTCTCTCACTTGAGCTCCCTCCGCTGATGTCTGACCCATTATACCGTTTATTTTCAGAGACAGCTTTCCATTCAAGATCGGGACACGCTTGCAACACGATGCATGTTGTTGTGTTTTTTAAAGAAAGAAATGATCAAGTGAAACACGACATCTTATCTCAATTTCATATTTCCAATAGAAGAAAACTACTATTACTCGAAAGATCTCTAGATTCTAGTTTTTAAAAATTAGCTCACGTAAAAAAAAAAAAATATTATAGTAAAATTGGGTTGCTTTTTTGTTGTCTTTGCTGTGGTTGCCATTGTTGTTAATTGTTAGTGTTGTTGCTGTTACCACAATTCATTTAATTTAGTCAGTTTAATAGATGTAAGACTCTCTCGTCGTAGTTTGTTTGTGGTTGCTTTGTCTATTTGTTGTTTTATCCTTTGTTTTGTTGTTTTTTTACCTTCGTCAAAAACATGATTGGGAGTGAGATTGGGGGGGTCCAAAGATCCAAATACAATGTAAGCTACGTAGACCTAGGCTAGTTAGGGCCTATAACATGGGCAAAACGATGGTATTGGCGTCTGTGACCTTCAATCTAGAGCTGTGTAATTCGGTGTTCTTTTCAGTTTTCAGTAATTAAGAATGAAAATGAATTCTTTTGTGTGTGCTTAATTTTGTTGTTGTTGTTTGGTTGTTTTGTTTGTTTGTTTGTTTGCTAGCCTGTTTGTTTGTTTGTTTGTTTGTTGGTTGGTTGATTCTTTTGTTTGTTAAGGGTTTCTCCTTTCATTCAATATATATGTCTAGGGTTCGAAACCTGACAGTGACCGAAATGTTTCTACTCTAAAATGCTCTCCTTTCACCTCCTTTCCTATTTCCTGATCTTATATAATGTTATGCTGTTTACGTTCAACTCCATTTTCTGCCACTACCCCCCCCCCCCAACCTATTCTTTCCTCTGTTATTCCTGGCTCCTTCTTTCTGCTGTAATGTGGTCAGTGATTGTTCACAACTCTAAACATGTGAGCAGGTGCGTTGTAGTGATGCAGGATGACGTCGTCGTCATGCAAAGCGGGTCTTTTTTCCTATCGCAGGTCTCAGTCTGTCTTTGAGGACGAACCTGTAGTAGTCACCATTGGCAGTTACGACAGGTGGGACTAGCCAGCTCAGAATGATGCCACTCATGTCGAAAAAAATGTGCATCATCTTTCTCTCCCCGTGTTTTCTGCGGGCTTTCCGTGGCTTCGACTCATCCGAATCAAGCCATTGAGCCGATTGTCTTTTCGACCTGGGATCAAATGAGTACGAGTACACCCAAGTTTCATCTCCAGTGACGATGTTACTCAGAAACTCTAAACCTTCTTGCCCAACACGGATCAAAAAGTGCCGAGCCGCTTGAACACGGGCCTGTTTCTGCTCTGATGTCAACAAATGGGCCACCCACTTTGCAAAGACTTTTTCCTTGCCAAGATCGTTGGTCAATTTTCTGTGAACTGTTGCACTGGACATACTGACTATTTCACTAGTTTCCTTGCACGTTCTTCTCGTATCTTCCTCCACAACAGCTTTGGTTCTCTCCACACTGTCGCCACAAGTGACAACTGGGTGCCTCCCAGTGTGCACTTCATCTTTCATGTCAGACCTCCCACCTTCAGCCTCCCTCATTCATTTACTTACTCTTTGAAATGTTCCTACCAGCTTCAGTAAAAGTGGAAATGAAAAAGCAAGTGGATTATAAGTCAACGAACAACCCAAGGACATGGTGCTCTGTTATTCTTTTGTTTACTCTTCTCCTTTATTTAGAAGATACTAATAGTGAAAGTGGTTACGCCTTGGCCTGGTTGTACCTAGGGCAGTTTACCCGAAGTGATTATGATGTTGACGTTCATTTCTTTGTACTATTCTGTTGAGGGAAGGCACTACGGTGAGCAATGTCTGTTCCTGTTGTTGTTGTTTGGGGTTGGATTTGTTGTTGTTTTTGTTGTTGTTTGTTGTTGTTTTTGTTATTTGCTATAGCTGTTGTTATTTATGTTCTCATCATAGAATCAGATAATTTCACCACGAACATTTTCAGAATATCATTAGCTGTAAATTTTGTCTGTCTTTCACAGTATTCTTTTTAATGGTCAGTACTTTTGTGCAAGTTGAGTTTCTGTCTCTACCCAGAGTGTGGTTGCGCGTGCGTGCGTCTGTGTGTGTGTGTGTATGTGTGTGTGTGTGTTTGTGTGTGTGTGTGTGTGTGTGTGTGTGTGTTCGTTTGTTAAGCTTGAGTTATTTATTCAACCTCCCCAGAAAGATTTCACGTATGCCTTTGAACTGTGCTGATGTGGCTGAGCTCATTCTCAATTGATTATTGGACATAGTGTGACCATTCTGCGTAGATCTTTGTGTATTCCATTCGAAATGATTTTTAACATGCAATCTAGTAGCTTTTAAAAAACATTTTTTTGGGTCTGATTGCCTGCATTGTTTTACCATGGCTTTTTAAAGGTGTCGTTATTGTGTGTGTGTGGGGGGGGGGGGGTGTAGTTTGTGCTTTTTATGAAGATGAAAGTGGGTTTGAACGTTGAGCTTGTGTCATTTTAGTGAAGAAATCTGAGGAGTGTCAGGCACATGTTTTTTAATGATTTGTTTATTATTGCTTGTTTTTTTTTTGTAGTTTGTTTGTTTGTTTGTTTGTTTTTTAATATTTAATTTCATTGTTTCATTTGAGGAAAAACACCCACTCTGTTATTTCAGACACAAGATGTTCTTTGAAATAATCCTGTCTCGATGTCTGTTTTCATTCTTATTTATTATTATCTTCAGTCACAACATGCCAATTTTCCCCCTCATTTGTGTATTACAATAAAATCTTTTGAACTGTTCATTTGATTCTATTATCCTCTGCGAGACTTGTGAACAGGGGAAATCAGTTTCTGCAGTAATACTGGCATCTGTTTTAGCAATCCACTTTCACACATTTGATTCCTTATACTGCAATTGCAGCATGTAATACCTTCTATTTTTGCTTGAGTCCAAGGCATGTTTTTTGCTTCGGTACCAGTCTTCTTCTTCACGTGCCAGAAGGTGGGTGGTTGGCGGGTGCTGTAATGTGGCTCGCTCCTTCTTTCCTACCAAACATCTATTGTCCTTATGTCCCCTCCTTCTTTTTTTTTACAATCTTGTAACACTTCTAACCTTCGGTTCTTATATGACCTCATTGTGTTACAAGTGCCGTAAAACTCTTACTAAAACTGATACAATTACAAGATCTGAAACAGATACAGATGACTGTTCACTGCAGATTCACCTCCTGTTTTTCTGCTCAGATGATCAAAATACCCCCCTCCCCCTCCTGTATTTTCGTGTTGTCCTGGCCTGCCTTCTCCAGCCATCCATGATCTGTTCAAATTCTCGAAGTGAGATACTTGGAGGCAAAGAATTCCATATCAACTTAGTATTTGCCCTTTACACCGCCATCCGCCAACTGTCTCAGTAGCACGGTCCTTATTGAACTACTGTAGATTTACCCCGCTGTACCGCCAGCGGACCGGCCACCAGAAGCACACAGTATACACCAGGCTACACACGGCGCACGGCACATCCATTCAGTGGTTGGTTGACAATCTTCTATACACAAGTCTCTTTGGGCTAGGCCTAGGTCTAGATTAAACGCTTTTCGCCGATTTGCTTTCTTCCCGCCCATCACATCTCCCTACCCTTGTCTTGTAGACTACAGGCAATATGGATATATATAAATCTTCGGTGATGTAGTGTGTCGCAAAAGAACACAATACATTTTTGTGTAATGTAGAGGAGTGAAATTAAAATAAAACATAAGTATCTGTGTAAGTCAGCATCAAATTTCGCCCCCTGGCAAAATACATGTACCTGACGTCACTAGATATCAGCCCAATAACGTTGGCTTTTATTTAGTGAGACGCTCGTTCTATATGACAGATCGACGACAGATTATTTATTTCTTTGTCTAGTGATTTGGAAACAAGTTCCCTTGACGTTTTTTAGTCAGTGCTATATGCCTTTATCAGAGGACATGAAAACGTCGCTGTACCCCCAGCCCCGCTGTACCGCCAAATTCATGCTCGTCCGAAAGTAGACCGTACAACGGGTTTGACTGTATAGGCTGTCAACCAAAAGATCGTGGGTTTCAACCTCGCTAGGAGCCAGACGTTATGTTTGTTAGTGTTTGCGCGCCTGATCAGCTGCTTGCACTGTATGATGCTCTGGGGTTATAGAATGTCAACCCATAGAGCTTGTTGTTGAGCAGGGATACGCGGTGTGCTAAAGCTGCTGCTGCTTTTTCTTCTTTTTCTTTTTCTTCTTCTTCTTCTTCTTCTTCTTCTTCTTCTTCTTCTTCTTCTTCTTCTT